TTGCAGCTGAAGACGCTCTTCGAAGATGGAACAGAGAATCTTGGAAGGACCCGAAAGCCCGTGGAGCAAAGAACTCGACTAAAGGCGAGAACTTTCACCCCTCCAATCAAAACCGACGTTCCTTCTTCGGACATCTGACAAAACCCGAACGGTTTGATGATCTTCCAAAGCCAGTTCTGAAGCCAAACATCTCAATGCGTGATGTTCTAAGCCGTAAGCAAGTTCAGACAGAAGATTTCGCCCCTGAGAGGCAGAGCGAAGGGCAAATCACACGAAGAAACGTGAATCTGAGCCAAATGCTGAACGAGCTGAAGGAGGAAGTGAAGTATCCGGCGAGAGCCGAGAAAGAGACGAACGATGAGAAACAGTTTGTGACTCAGAGGAGGAAGTTTGGGTTCATACACATATCTCTTCCACTGCAGAAGCAGAGCAAGAAGAAAACTCAGTCCTTGAACATGGTTTCGTAGAATCTTGAGATTTGTCTGATTCTTAAGCTTTCTTGTTCTTTAAACCTTTGAAGTCTTCGTCTGTAATTGTGTTTTTTATTGATGGTTTGATTTGATGTGTGTTGTTGCTTCTTCTTTTTACATTAATAAATTTATTTAATGATATAAAATATTGGTTTGGGAACGAGATTTTTATTTTTATTTTTTTAACCAGGACAGGATCCGCTAGATTATTGATTTTATGTATTTAATAATATATTGAAATTAAATATATTTTTAAAATTATTTGTAAATTACATAGTTTATACCGAGTAAATGAATTTGTGTATATCTTAAAATTTTAGCATTCATCGTAATGCGTTATGTTGGAACGTTGAAGTAATATTGTTAACTAGAAAAATATTAGGAGTTTGTAGTTGTAGTTGTAAGGTTAAGTATGTGTATATTTAGGTTCTTTTTAATGAGTTTTTACGGGATGTTTATCTAATGTGTGCAAATTCGTACGCATAATAAGAAAATGCAATTCTTATATATTATAATTTTAATATATTTGGAAAACATTTTAATTTATATAGTGTTTTTTGGTGTTCTATAATTTATATTGTTGACATGTAAGTGAATGTATAAATGGGTTGCGTTTATCTACAATAAATTATATGTTTAGTTTTTCCATTTAGACTGTATATAGTTTGTTGAGTCAATAAAATAAATAATGAGATAAATAATTTGTCTGATATTGGAAAATTATAATCATACAATCGAATTAATATAACATCATGATATTTTATGTTAATAGAAGTAAAGGATGAAACATAAATGTTTTGCATATTTGATGTATTGGTTTGATGTTATGGTTGTGTTATGATTGTATTCTATTCCGCTGATTCCCACTACAAAAAAACCTGCATATAGCGACGGAATTTGCGACAGAAATTTCCGTCGCACAGAAAATTGCGACGGGATGTGACGATTTTACGACAGAACGTGGAAAAAAATTATCCGTCGCAAAATCCGTCGCAATTTGCTACGGTTTGCGACGGATAATTCTGTCACAACAAAGAAATAGATGATTTGCGACGGAAAATAAAAATTGCGACGGATTGCGACAGAATATTCCGTCGCAATATATTTGGTTTCGGTTTTCGACGAAATTTTTTGAATTTTGGGCGTATAAATAAATTTCATTTTGTGACGGATTGCGACGGAACGCAATATAAAACCACGAGTCGTCTTCTTCGTCAGATTCAAAGATTTTCGGAAAAAAATAAAAATCGCCAAATTTTTTCTAAATCTCTCCAAAGATCGCCAAATTTCTCCCATAAGGTAATATATATGTATTTATGTATATATATATGTGTGTTTGATGCGTTTGTGTGTGTTTATGTATGTGTATGTGTGTGTAAGTGAATGTGTATATATATGTGTGAATGTGTATGTGTGTGTTTATATATGTGTGTAAGTGAATGTGTATGTATATGTGAATGTGTATGTGTAACATCCTGATTTTTTTATTAATTAATAGATTAATTAATTATTAATAATAAATAATTTTAAAAAAAAACAAGGAGAAGGTTTGGCCGCCCACGTGAAACAAATCACGCATAACCACCTACCCATATACATATATATAATATATCTAATATAATAATGATTATAAAATAAAATATTTATTATAAAAAAAATGATAAAACCTCGCTATATAAAGGACATGCGATTCGGATGAAGCATACGAGAGAGAGAGAGAGAGAGAGAGAGAGAGTAAAAAAAAAAAGAAAAGAAAAAGAGTAAAAAAAAAATATATAATAGTAAAATAATAATAATAAATATAATATTTATAAAAATATATATATATATATATATATATATATATATTAAAAATCAGAGGAATGTATGTGTATGTGAAAATGTATATATGTATGTGTATATATAGTATATAATTTTTTTATATTTTTTTTAAAATTTTTTAAAACATTTGCGATGGAATGCGACGGAAAAAAATCCGTCGCAATTTATCCATCACTTTCCGTCGCAAAACGCAGATTTTTTCCGTCGCAAAAATGCGACGGATTAACGACCGTTATACGTTTGTGACAGCGCTATACCGACGGAAATAAATCCGTCGCATTCCGTCGCAAATTCTTAATTGCGACGGATTTTCTTTATATTTGCGACGGATTTTTCTGTCGCTATATAACTATTTTCTTGTAGTGTCCGCTGACTGATGTATTCGATATCTGGTAATAATTTAGTGTTTAGATAACGGATAATATAAATCTGTAAATCTTGTATGTAATATTCGTTTGAGTATTGAGGAAGAGATTTATATACCTTTGCCGGAATTTTTTGATGATGTCGAGTTTTTCATCTATATAAATTCTTGTAGACGATGATAAAGTGAGCGATAAAACACCTGTTTCATAAAAAGATGATGTTTAATACTTTAATTTTATTTATGAATGTATATATGAAAAATCCATAAAGATGATGGTGTTTTAATAAGTACCGTCGAGAATCTTCGGGATCACAGTAGTAACAACCATGATGCTCCTTCTGACATTCAACTTGTCCATTTGCGAATGTATATAGGCTGCAAGTTCATCCCAAATTGAAAGCTTTACGATTTTTTTGCTATTTATTAGTTTGAAAATACATATTAGTTTGATTTAAAAAAAATTGGGTCGGTAAAATGATATTAAGTGCAACGTAAGGTAATAGTTCTAACTCTTTTAATAATAAGCGGAGAATGATTTTTTGAGTCGATGATGACAATCGTAGATTTGATCCTTGTACTGAGACTACAACTCCAACAATATCTGCAACATGAAAGAATATATTGAATATATATATATATATATATATATATATATATATATATATATATAAATTAATCGAGTATATTTCACAAACCTGGTAAGTCTTCTTTTTTGTATGTCAATGCCAACAAATCACAATGTAGACGAATCCAGAATTTCTATGTGGAAAATGGCAATATTGAAATTGGTAACATCTACTTTTTTAACAGTAGTATGTTTCGTAAAACAAATACGAAATTTATTATTTGTTAACTTGTATATGGTTTTATTTGATAAAATTTTAAAATGGGTTATTTCGAATATATCTATATCATTTGTTGTGTTGCTATATTTTTCTGCATGGTTTTGATAATTTTTCCTTCAACAACATCAGTCTGCAAAATTGTAAGTCGCTAAAGTAAGAGTTCTTATCATAATAAACATATGCAGAAGAAAAATCAGGATAACAGACTTTTTCATCAATTAGTAAAAAACCAATGACACCGAATGCACTTCCATGGAAATAATTGTTTTCATCCCATATCTTTAGAAATCTTGGCGCAATAAACTGGTTACTTTGAATACTTTTCAACTGATTCGTTTTTGTAACGTGATGATGTCGTTTCGGAGTTCTGTTTTGAAGAATCCTACAATGGGGATAGTTTAACAAATCAATATATTTTTTACCGTATAATGAATTTATACATGAGATCATAAGATTATAACATTAGTTTTACTGGTATAAAAAATGTAATTACCCATAAAACTTGTTGTAAAGTCCCTGTAAAAAAACAAAAAAAAATGATTAGTAGATAAAAATATTAATTTATTTTTAAGTGGATATTGTTATATTGTGAACGGGTTGTCATAAATTTATTCCTAATACAACTCTATTTCATATTCTCTGGTAATATATTCTTGATCGTAAATATTATATTATGTACATGATTGCATAATTTTATTATATGTTGTAACTTCTTACATCTATTTGCTAATAATATTCGTATATAAACTGTGTAATATGAGTATAATAGTAGTTACATCTAACCTTATTGTGTCAGTGGTCCGTTGAAAATTTCTCTGTAGACAATGTTGGGGACCTCATATTTATCACCGTAGTTATCTGTAAGCTGTAGGATTTTTAATCCACTTGCAGATGTAACACGGGAGAGAGCAACATACAACTGCCCATGACTAAAGACCGATTGTGGCAGATATAGGGCAACTTGTTTAAGACTTATTCCTTGGCTTTTATTTAGTGTCATTGCATAGTATCGTCTTATCGGAAATTACCTCCTGCGTAATGTGAATGGATGTCTTGAATCTATTGGGGATAAAATTATTTTAGGAATCAGTACCTTTTCCCCAATGTTTGCTCCAGTTAGAATTTCTGCCTCCAAAACTCTTTTGTCTAAATGAGTAATAATTAGACGTGTCCCATTGCAAAGTCATTCTTTTTGGTTGATATTTCGTAACAACATCACGGGTACTCCAACCTTCAAATTCAGGCGATAACTTGGTAATCCAGGAAACTCTAGAGTATTTAGATATTCAACGGGGTACAATGTTTGCCAATCAGTTGTTGGAGCGCTATCAATTCCAATGTCTGAACTTAGATATTCTATAGTTTGTCCTGGAATTTTGGAGAGCAGAAACATATTTACTTCATCAACAGTTTCATTTCTGGGTGTTAAGATTGCTCGTTCTTTAAGGTACTGATGATCTAAATATGAGTTTAAAAACCGTGGATATGCAGTTGTTGCAAGTATTGACAAAGGGTCATCTATACTTTGTCGCATTAAGGCTTTGTCCATTATAATTCGATCTGCTTCAGCTAGTTCATCAGGATTCATATCTCTTTGATGAGCAGTCTCGTTTCCAACTTGTAAGATTCATTCTGCAAATTCTTGTTCAACTCAATTAAGTCATAAGTTATGTCGTAAGATATAGATATCACATGACGTCCATAGATATGAACGATTCAATATTGTTAGCACTGTATTGGGACGTCCTCCTTGTTTTACCATTGATAATATCTATCTGAAATCTCCACCTAGCAACACAGTTTTTCCTCCAAAATGTCTTCTCGGCGGCTGATTCATCAGTGAGAGACATAAGATCTTTCATTGTTCGGTCTAATGTCTCGAATGTGTGACGGCGTCCATTGGTGTTTCATCCCATATGATCAATTCAGTTCTAGATAACAATTCTGCCAACATAGTGCCTTGCTTTATATCGCATGTTGAATTATCATCGACATTTAACGGGATTTTGAATCTAGAGTGAGCTGTTGAAATCGGTAATGACAAATTGAAATCGATTAACCTAA